AAGAGTAGAGAAGAACATGTTTACCACTTGACTCAAGTTTTACAGGTTCTCAAAAAGAAGAAAATATATGTAAAATTGAGTAGGTGTGGGTTCTGACTTGAGCAGACTACCTTTCTGGGGCACATCATATCAAGGGATGGAGTATCAGTAAATTCTGAAAAAGTTAAGGTAGTACTTGGTTGGGAGAAATTGACATCGGCTAAGGAGATTCTAACTTTTTAGAAATGACAGGTTATTAACGCAAGTTTATGGAAGGATTTTCTAGTCTACCCGCTCATTTGACCCAACTCACAAAGAAAAATATTAAGTTTGAATGGAACAAGAATTGCGAAAGAAGCTTTACAAAGCTCAAGAAGAGGTTGACTACTGCATCCCTGATGGCTTTACCAAGTGGGACGGGTGGATATACAGTGTATAGTGATGCATCCCACCTGGTGTTGGGTTATGTTCTGATGCAGCATGACAAGGTCATAGCCTATGGTTCTAGGCAATTGAAGGGTTATGAAAAAAATTACCCCCCCCACGACTTAGAACTTGTTGCCATCATTCACGTCTTGAAGACTTGGCACCACTACCTGTATGGGGAGACTTTTGAGATTTATACCGATCATAAAAACTTGAAGTACATATTCACTCCGAAGGATCTCAACATGTGTCAAAGGTGTTGGATAAAGCTCCTCAAGGACTACAATTGCAATAATTTGTATCATCCGGTCAATGGCAATGTGGTAGCCGACGCGCTCAGTATAAAAAAGTGCAGGTATGTTAGCTCACGTCATAGTTTCTTAATGTAGGGTAATATGGGCCGCACAACAGATACAACTTCAGGACTTGAAGAGAGTTACATGCTTGACTCATCTGACTATTTAACCCAGATTTGTCCAGAGAATAATCGAAGCTCAATCAACTGATTCTACCATAACAGCTCTTAAGAATGATGCAGAACAAGGAGAAAATTTAGAATTTTAAGTCTCTACCAATGGGTTGCTCAGATTTCAATATAAGGTGTGTGTTCCAGATAACAGTGAACTAAATAGGGACATCATGACGGAGGCTCACAGTTCAAAGTTTGTCATGCATCCCGAAAGTACTAAAATGTATCAAAGTATGCGACTCCGATTTTGATGGAACATGATGAAAAGAGGTATAGTCGACTTTATCTCCAAGTGTTTGGTATGTCAACAAGTTAAGACAGAACATCAATGCCCAGACAGATTACATCAGTCATTACCGATCCCGGAGTAGAAGTGGAAACATATCACAATGGACTTTGTGACTAGGTTGCCTAACTCCTACTCAGGACATGACACTATTTAGGTAATTGTCGACCGACTCACCAAATCTTCCCACTTCTTGGCTATCAAGATAATCGACCCCTTGGACAAGTTAGTAAGAATATATATCCAAGAGATAGTCAGGTTACATGGAGTTCCAGTGACAGTGGTATCCGACAGAGACCCTAGGTTCACCTCTTGATTTTGGTCTACTTTTTAACAGACAATGGGAACAAAACTGTTCTTTAGTACCGTATTCCACTCTCAAACCGATGGACAATCAAAGATGACGGTTCGCATACTAAAGAATATGTTCTGAGCTTGTGTTCTAGACTTTGGGGGCCATTGGGATGATTATTTACCTTTGATAGAGTTCGTCTATAATAACATATACCAAGAAAGTATCGGCATGGCCCCGTACGAGACATTGTATGGCCACCCCTGCAAGTTACCTATCGGTTGGGAAGAGGTTGGTGATAGAAATTTATTCAGCCTAGATATTATAGAATAGACTACAACCAAGATAGTTAAAATCAGGAAGAATATTCAGACAACTCGGAGCAGACAGAAAAGTTATACAGATACACAAATGAGTGGTTTAGAATTTAAAAAAGATGATCGAGTATTTTTTAAGATCACTCATTTCAAGGAAATCAGTAGGTCTGACAAGATAGAGAAGTTAAATTCCCAGTTCATTGGGTTATTTGAGATCTTATACCGAATTGGTACAACCACCTACAGACTAACACTATCTCCAGAGCTATCTAGGCTTTATAATGTGTTCTACATATGCATGCTACGCAAGTACAATCCAGACCCCTCACACATCCTGTTGCACGAGCTCCTTTCACTCTAGGAACATCTATCATATGAGGAAGTGTCAGTATTCATTGTAGACCAGAAGAGTAGAGTACTTCACAACCGAAAAATTTTATTCATTAAGGTTTTATGGAAGAACCATACGCAGGAAGAAACCACTCGGGAACTGAAATCAAGCTTCAGGGCCTACTAACCCAAGCTGTTCGACTGAGTGAAAGAATGACCAATTTAAGAGACCAAATTTTCTTAAGGGAGAGAAAGTTATAATACCCAGACCAAAAAAGCAGTTCGAGATAATTTTTTCTCGTTAAATTATTTTATTAAAATAATTATTTAATCTATTATATTTTTATTTTATTGAATTTTTGAGAAAAAATGAATTGGAAATGAGATTGAAAATAATTTTTAGAAAAAAAGGAGTGAAAATTTGAGTTCATGAGTTGTTTTTGAAAGAAAAATTGAAAATAAGGGGTAAAAGTGCAGAAAGAAAAAATTCAACCTTATGCGACAGCCAAATCAGCAATGTCGATGAACCGGAGCACGCCACGTGTCAAAATACGCTGACATCGGCGCCACGCAGGCGATCTGCGTGCCCAGCGATCCGACAACTAAGGTTCAATCCCGCACGCGTGAACGACTCATATTCATTTCCTCATTAAGCACTATTAGATAGACGAGATCATTCGCGATGAACAATTCAGATTCATCCACGCAATCGACCTAAATAGGCAAATATTAGACGACCCTCCTCGCTCCACGTCGATGCGAATGGACAATCTAGATTAACGCGAGATGAGTATCAATACCTCGTGTCGTAGGGGAACCCAAACCTTAGCTACTAGTCCCGCCGGAGAAGAAGAATCATGCATCGGAGAAGAAGGCCAATCAACGATCGCCGCTGTACCGGAGCCACCACCAACTGCCAAAAAGGTAAAATTTTCCCCTACCTACTCGAAATTCGATTTTGAGCCTCCCTATGGCCATATCGAGCAAGAGAGACGACAGGTGAGCCGAAAATTACAGGTAAAGCTCGGTGGAACTGCTGCGGCCAAAACTCAAAAATCCCTCCGATGAGCCCCTTCCTGCTTTCTGTTTCACGCAATTTTCTGATTATTGTGTTCAATGTCTTTTTCTGTTTAGGTTAACCAAAGAAGGAACCCCAACTGCGAAGGAGGACCGGCAGAGCCGCTGCACCCAGAGACCTCCTCGTTGGTAGGTTCGATTTTTTATTATTTTTTGTCCAACCGACACCCCTAACGTGTTTTTCCATAGAGATACATGTAAAACTAATCAAAACTAGCTAAAATCGACTAGACTAAGGTGAACCACCACTGTGGGCGGCGAAGCCAGCGCCGAAGCACAATGGCGACGCCGTGCCGAAATCCTAAAATTGGCCAAAAAGAGTTTTGGACCCTAATTTGGGATTTTTAGGTACGTGACAAGTGTTTTAGATTCTACATAAAAAATTTAGGAAACTCGAGAACCATTAGGAGGTGTAATAAATAGCACTGTTTCAAAACACCGATCCAGGTAAGGATAACTCACTATATTCTCCGTTACGATAAATTTAGGGTTAACGATGTATAATTTTGTATTTTTGTAAAAATTTAGAAAATTCTAAAAATAATTACATGTCCCTAGTGGAGTTAGAACTGGTTAGTTCATAATTATTCTGATTTCTTATTTATTTTTCTGTACTATCCTATTTGCTTATTACATATTGCGAATGTTTTTAATTTATAGTTTCTATGGTCTTATCAATTTATCTAGTTACTCGATCTCTTGTTATGATAAACTACATCGTCTGTGTAAATGTTGTCTATTTGATATGTAAATATAATATGAGATATTAGTATGCATTTGTTGGTTAATTTGTTGATAGAAATCTTTATATGAAAAATTTGCTGGGTACCTAAGAAAAAGATAGACAGGCCCGGTACATAGAGAATCCTACCATAAACATTACTCCAGTCGAACAGGGGCTGAAAAGTCTGTTACTAGAAAGGTTCGAGAGATATAGTTCACCCTCATACCGGACGAGGTATCGAGGTGATGGAATGTTTGGCATCCATTACCAGATGGGGTATGACAATAACCAGTTAATTGTTAAAATTAGATATTGGGTTTATGAGTAGGGGACATCCCTATGGACCCCCAAGGTACCAATAAATAAGTAAGAAAGAAAAATTATCGTCTCTTGTTCTCTTGTGCGTGAAAATAAAAAATGGTATGGACATGAATCTTTATAAGTTAGTTTTTGAAAAATTCGTAATGGTAAGTATCAAAAAAATATCTTTAAGTTAAATGTATTTAATTAAAGCAATGCTTCATTAGTTTTTTTATTTTTACCAATCTTCAATTTTTCGTATCTGTTATTAGTGCGATATTCTTACTGAGTTAGTATACCTCACCTTTTTATTAACCATTTTAGATGAAGAAAACCAAGATTCAAATCCCGATCAATAAGAGGGTTGTAAGTAGTTCATCACCCGGACTCCCTTTAAATGGTAGTGAAAGTTGTCTTAGAATGCTTATTTATTCGCTTTTTTTTTTTAATTACCATTTGTCTTTTAGAAGGGATATTTTCGTAACCCTATTGGGCATTCAAAATTATTGTATAAGAAATGTAAATCTTAAATTTATTATCCGCTTCTGCATTTAAATTATAAATTCATTTCCTTTAAAGTTTCGGGCCTTTACAGGTTTCCTTTTATTACACTTACTTTATTACTTTATAAGTATATTATAAGTTGATGGTGATTAATTTATAATATTTAATTTAATGTAAATAAAATTTAAATTTACGAATATATTAATGAATGTAATAACCAGGCCCCAAAGAGAGAAGGGAGCCCAGGCCCAGGACAAGAAAAAAAAAAGACAAAGAAACCCTAGCAAAAGAAGATGAAAGATAAGGAAATGAAGGAGGAAGAAGGGGGCATGGCGTGCAGTGCCTGCGGCTAGGAAAGGGGATGTCGAGCACGTAGTGATTGGGTGCGTGGCACGCACTGCCGAAGAAGAAGAATAAAAAAAAAGAAGAAAAAAAAGAAAAAAAAATGAGAAGGAGGAGGAGGAGGGAAGCAGGGTGCACGACCAGAAAGGCAAAGTTGCGTGCAGTGCTAAGTGCATGGCGTGCGGTGCTGAGCTCACGATGTGCGATGTTACGCTCGAGGTGCACGATGCTGGGCGTGTGACGTGCGAAATGCAGTGTTGGGTGCGCGACGCGCAGTGCTTGGCGCACTGTGTCGAGCGCACAACGCTCGTTGTTAAGGAAGAATGAGCAAAGCACATGTTGGGTGGACTTGATCCGTATGAAGCAAACCACAACACAACATTCTAGATCTGTTCAAAGATCCGTGTGAGGCCAAAAATCAGGGAATCAAAGAAAGAGACCAAAACCGCACTTTTTTGTATAGAAAGCCCGAATTCAACACCGATTTCGGTAAATTTTCTTCCATCTAATATTCAATTATTATGTTAAATTAAATTCTTAATCATGTATATGAAAATTTTAGGGAAATTGGGAATATAAAGCTGAAAATGGAGCTGACTGTAGGGAACCAAAGTCGTTCGAAAGTTTTGCGATTTTTTCTTTCGTTGGAGATCCTGGTAAAAATTAAGTTAGTTTTCATTTGAGGATTTCATGTTTTCATAAAATGATTTATTGATTTCAAAATAATTAATTTAAAAGTTTGATGGATGATTTAAGTGTTATCCTAAAAGGTGTTTTGCAAAGTTTCATATGTATGTGAATGAGTGTGTATTGAGCGTCGGTGTTGTATAGGGTATATGTATAATAATATGGATACATATATGTCGGGCGTGAATGAATATGTAAAGATGTAGTATACTTAGGCTAATGTTTGTTTAATGCATAGGATTCTATATATAAAAAGTAGATGGATTCTAGGGCGTATTTACGTATGTAGCTATATATATGAGTATGTAATATGTGTTTACATATATATATATATGTTGATATATATGAAGCTGTACAAAAATGTAAATAGATATATATGTATGTTGGTATGAGCGTAAATAATCTTATGCATTAAATCCATATGTGTGCAGGTGTAAAATAATATAGGTAGTTATGTAGGTGTAGAAACTGCTTATATGCATATTTGAAGTGAGGATATAGATGTATGTATTTTGTATGAGTATAAGTGATTTATGTATGTTAAATCATAATTAGGTGAAATATGTATATTGTAAGAAAGTATATATATGTACATAATTAGAATATGTTTATGGTTAAATATAATGGTACCAAGATAAAATAAGTTAGTAATGTGTGTAGATATGGATTACGGTTGTTTGTTGCTTACGTAGTACGTTAGGTGTGTGTTTAATACGATATAAACTGTATATGTTGGACATACATGTATACATGTTATTTTTTGCTCAAATGATTTTACATGAATAGTTTGTTGTTATGTATACTCATTATGGGTGGAATGAGGTCACATCTCAGTTGTGTAAATAGGTGTATGAGAGTGATGAGATTGGTTGTTGGCTATGTGAGTAAGAATATAAATTAATATCATTGTTGAATGTGAATTTTCCTTTAAAAATATAAATCTAATATTTGGGTAGAAAAAAAAAACAAAATTTCAAGAATGTTTGGGTTCTGAAATTAGGATATGAAATAAAAACAATCTTTGAAGAAAAAAAAACTTATAAAGTATCATAGGAGAGAGTGTATGGACTTGATACATAGGGTGAACCCTACCGTGGATATGTTCTCAGTCGTACATAGTTGGAAAGTCCCATACCAGATGTGATTGAAATTGGTTTAGTTACACTCATACCGGACGATGTATTGAGATGGTTTATAATTGTGGCGCTCATTATCGAATGGGGTATGAGGATGACTAAGGAACTGTAAAGGAAATATTTGTACATCCGCGTGTAGTGAGAATCCTTATGGGCCCCTAGTGATACCGATAAGGAAAACAACAATATGTAATGTAAGTGGAAGTGATATGGATACGTATCTGGTGTGATTGATAGTATTTATGAATGAAATGAAATTATTTAAATACAAATCCATTACGATATGATGATATTTATAAATAATAATTATATGTACAGTACCTAGATATAAATATGTTAGAATGGGTAATGAAAAAGATGTAGTTCTTGATTGTTTCTTTTGTTATACTTTGTGATAATGATGATGTAGAATTTTAGTAGAAAAAAATAAATAATTTTATTTCTCACCATTTAGTTTGTTACACCTGGGTATTTATAGAATTCCTAACCTACTAATAAGAAAATTTTTATTCTACTAGAATTCTAATAATATGAAATTATTATTCTCATATAATCCTAATTACATAATACTAACTAATTAAATAATAAACTAAAATAATAAAATATTATATTGAACACCCCCCGAGTTGGGCAAGGATATTGCACATACTCAACTTGCAAAACAAGCTCTAAAGAGTCATCATGCAATCTACATAGGCGTACGCACGCTCAACTCGGTTCAAAATAACTCGTCCTAACTCAAAACGACTTGACCCGGCTCAACACGGCTTGACCCGGCTCAACACGGCTTGACCTAACTCAAAACGGCTCGAATCGGCTCAAAACAGCTCGACTCGGCTTTAAAATAACTCAGGTTTGGTTTTAAAAAGGCTCAGATTTGGCTCTCAGTCTTGGCTCTAAAACGGCTTGAAGTCGGCTCAAAAAATAACTCGAAGTAAGGACAGATCTTTGAACGTGCACAGAAAAACGAAATGACACGGTCTTTTTTTCCGGCACCTGTAGATGTACGACTGTAACTTTTTACCAGTGCATGTGATGTGCCGCTGCATCTTTTTACTGGCGATTATAAATGTGCGACTAAAACTTTTTACCAGTGCTTATGGTTGTCGATTGTATATTTTTACCAGTGCTTTTGCATGTGCAGGTGCACTCTTTATACTGGCACCTGTGGATGTGCGGCTTCAGTTCTTTACTGGCACCTGGAAATGTGCAGCTGCAGCTTTTTATCGATTTCTCAAGAATACGAGTGCACTTTTTACCAACAGTTTCAGAATGCGGCTCACCTTTTTATCGGCGTCTAAAATGCCACCAAAAATATTGTAAACACCATAGAATACATCAACGAGTTCAAATCTATCTTGTGTTATTTTAGGGTTTGAAAATAATTCTGAAATTAGATTCCTAAAATAAGATTATTTGGTTCTGATACTATGTAAAATTTTAGGAGAAAAAAATAAATAATTTTATTTCTCACCCTTTAGTTTGTTATACCTAGATATTTATAAAATTTCTAACCTACTAATAAGAAAATCCTTATTCTACTAAAATTCTAATAATATGAGATTATTATTCTCATGAAATTCTAATTACATAATACTAACTAATTAAATAAATAAATAATTAATTAATTAATTAAAATAATAAAATATCATATTCAACAGATGATGAGTATGGCTGTCTTGCAATTGAATTTCTATAAATATAAAATTTGCATTGGTTTTATCAAACCTGTATGAATGTGTGTGTGCATATCTCTGCTTTGAATACTACTTTATTTCTACTAAGTCCGTGAAGCTTACCCCAATTCACTTTTCTCCTAGTGCAGAGTAGTTCAGGTTAGGAGGGAGTCAAGACCAAAGGAAAATTTCGAAGAATCCTTTAACTACCTTCGATATTTATTGTAAAATATATCTGAATATATTATTATGATATAAATTCGAAAGATTATTGTAAATCTCATAAATTACGACTCCGTACAAGGGATGTATTATTAATTTATAGATATCAATATAATGTTGCGCAAAAATTTATCAGGTTCACATGTGAGATAACGCTCATTTCTCTTTAAAAAAATCGGGTCGTTACAATGAAACTATGAAAAAAAAAAATAGATTAACTCTTAAAAAATCTATTATATTTATAGATAAAAAAAACATTCCAAAAGAATTACTCTTTCTTAATTAAGATAGTTATAGAGTAGAAATATGATTTTTTTTTTTAATAAATTAGTGTTGTTTATTATTAATTATTTTTATTATTGTAGTTCTACTACTAGTTTTTACATTAATCTAATACATTTAAAAATTCAGTTATAAAATAATTTTCACAAAAATCAAACCTGTTACCGGAAGAAGGGAGCATAAACTCAACAAATTAATTTAATTTTACCAATTAACTTATTAATAAACATATATTTAATAATTAGTTTTAATAATTTTGATGATAAATAAGTTAAGAAATTATTGTAGTTTCTTACACAGACAAATTACGTTGAAGTGTTCTAGCATGATAAATTTTTTTATTTTATTTTTAATAAAATTTAATTTTTATAAAAATTTATATATTTTAATAATTATATAATATTTATACAAATTTAAAAATAAAATTTTTAAGTCACTACATCTAATTATCTTCTTCCCATACCATACAGACTTGCAGAAGATAACAAA